GAATTGGACGACATCAATTCATTGTCCCAAGTGGGATGATGAACATGAGCCATCTACATAAAATCGTATGATTCACACGATCTAGCACACCAACGTAAGTTTCAATCCATTGGAAAGGATCTCTACATTCTATTTTTTAATCTATGGGTGTGCATTCTTTTGTTTAAGCCAAAAAGTTGAACCGAACAGAGTCAATTTTGTTGATTTGGTTTGGTTTAAGAAAAATGGTTATAGTTTTAAAATGTTAAAGTTTAGTTTTCAATTTACGAAGAAAAATGGTTATAGTTTTAAAATGTTAAAGTTTGGTTTTCAATTTACGGTTTGGATATACTTCCTAGTAAACTTAATAAAATGAAAACCAAAATTTTTAGGTAAATCTTCCTTGAAATATTTAAAAATAAATCTTCTAGTGATCAACATTACATAATATTCGCATAGTAATTTTCATTTTCTCTCATTAATATTATTTTCTTATACTTTCAAACTGTATTTTGGTCTATGTAAAACCAAATCGTTCAAACTGATCTAAACTTAGGTTTGACTGGTTCAATTTTATGAAAATTTTGTTTCGTTCGATAGTTTGATTTTGGATTTCTGTTGAAGTCGGTTTGCCTAATTTGAAAACCAAACCATACGAACCAATCAAATGCTCACCCTTATTCAATCCTATAGTCAATTTGATGTGATTTAAATGTTTCATTCACAAAGGACTGCCACTTTAATAATCAGCTTTTAAAAATTGGATAAAATTTTGACGACATAAAATTATCACAAATTTCGGATCCCTCAAATTTCAATCAAATTAATTTTATAAAATTCTACACTGAAAAATCGATCAATTCAATATACAGTATTATATGTAAATTATGAATATATTGGAAAATATAAAAATCGAAAGTTATAAGTGAATTATAAATTAAACCTAATAACCCTTAATTTTCTCCCTAATCTCGCATCTACTACTCCCAGACGACTTTATCCATTACCCTCGTTGGCATGTCCCTCCGTTCGTCCTTGTCGTGTCGAGCTTGGCAAAGCGCCGTGCCTCTTCCCGCGAAGCTCCAACACTCGGCTACTATAACCAGGTGCGAAAAGAGAAGCTCACATGCACAGTCGAGACCCGTAAGCTATGAATCCAATTTCCAGAATAAAATTGAAATGTATAAAACTAATTTTAGCGACATTTGAGAAATTCATTTCCTTCCTCTTACTTCCATTTTGAGATTTGCTGCTTTTTTCATGCATTGTTTGTTTTTGGTAGTCGTCTGAGACGTTGAACTTAAATTAAAAGTGTGTATATGAATGTTTGTATGTGCATGTTTAGAGAAAGAGTTCCCTCTCTAATGGTACAAACAGGGAGCGTCGACTTACCCGTGTGCATATAGATTTTTCTTTCATCCCAGTGAACTTAAATTAAAAGTGTGTATATGAATGTTTGTATGTGCATGTTTAGAGAAGGAGTTCCCTCTCTAATGGTACAAACAGGGGGCATCGACTTACCCGTGTGCATAGAGATTTTTCTTTCATCCCAATCCCAGATAATTATGATGGTTCGATCACAAATCATTGTGCCGATAGAATAATATCTGGCAGGGGTGAGTAGGGCTTACCTCCCTAGATAACTGTGAAGTTTACATTGTTAATTGTTTTGCCAATGAGATAATATCAACCTAGAGGCAGACAAGGTTATTTCTACCCTAGACAGTTGTTATGTTCTCATCGTTGATTGCTATGCCAATGAGAGCCAACAATATAATGTCATTGATATATGTATTAACATATATAAGATTTCTTATAAAAATATGAAATATCAACATATCATAATATTTCTTATCGAGATATGAAATACCACCATATATATTGATTTCCTTTCATTGGGTTACTGTAGTTTAGAAGTGTGATTACTCCGGGATTATCTTTATCTAACTCATTACATTGCTTTAATATTATTTATAGGTTCTACATATTTAAACAAAATGAACAGAAAATAATACAATGTGTATAGGAGATGAGAATAATAACTAGAAATGTACAAATTTTAACTTGTTAATTTTAATTACTTTTTTAGTGGTTCTTTTATAATTTTTTTTATTAAATATTTACCAATAGAAATAAAATAATAGAAAATTGATTGTTTCCATCTGACTGCCATTTCCCATCTTAGTTAATTCTAGGCCCTTAGTTAGGTCATGACAAAAGTGGTATCATAGCAAAAGATTTAGATTAAATAACATAAATCTTAATGAAAGAACTAATATGATAATTGGATTAAGTTATAAATAATAAAAATTAAAATTTTTAATTGAGTTTAATTAAATTATATGGTTATTATTTTAGAATTATGAATGATCATGAGGAAGAGATTCAAAGATGTGATGTAGAATTTGTTGTACTCCATAATGTCACAGTCGTTGCTGGTACATTCTTTGATATGTTGAATGTTCTTATGTAGCTGATTAAGACTTCTCAAACTTAAGTGAGTAGTAGTGGAGGAGCACTAATGAGTAAATATTTGAAACTATTTCAAGACATAAGACCACCTTTATTTTCTTGAGCAGGTGGACCAATAGAAGCTGGAAAATGCCTATTAAGAGTAGATAAGATTTTAGATGGGTTTTCTTATCCAACAAAGATAGGAGAATTACCCTATGCACTTTTACTTTTGATGGGAAAGCTAAATTATGGTGGCAAGAATAGATGAAGAAGTTTGGAGGTAGAGCCAACCACTTTGTATAGTGGGATGAGTTCATGAGAACCTTCACAAATTAGTTTGTACCACTATCGACTAGAAGACAAATGCAAGATAAATTCATTAGATTGGTGTAAGGAGATCGATCATTTATGCAATACAAAGCGGAGTTAACTATGATATCAAGATATGCACCACAACTCATTCCAAATGCAAAGGATAAATTCCACAAGTTTTTTCTAGATTGAAAAATTCAATCTTACAACCACTAATACCACTTGGGATTGAAGATTATTTATTACTATTGGAGAGGGCTAGGCAGGCAGAGATTAATTCTCAACAGACTCAGGAGCGTAGAGATTTGCACAAGAGGAAGAGTTTGGAATATGTGCACCAACATTTCATTCAAGAGAAGGAGAGTCTATTGAAAAGATTATAAAGTCCTACACTAGTAGAGTTATTAGCTAGGTTGTCATCAGTACTATAGATCCTTGTATTAAGGGTCAAAAGAAACAACATGGTGAATGCTTATTTGGGTTGAAAGTGTGTTACTTATGCAGACAGTCTGAAGATCAGAGATGAAACTGGCCTAAATTTGATCAGAGATCCACATCAGATTTTAACCCAAAAAGAAATCCAGTTAAAGAAATTTTCAAGAAGGATCTACTTCTAGAAGTGAACAACAGAGGATAAGAAAAGAAGATATTATAGCTCATAAGGAGTGACATGCCCAAAACTTATCAGGACATAAGTCAGGTGTACAACGAAAGTGCACACGTTAAGTAGTAATGCAGTTCAAGAGTATTGTTTATCAATACCACAAGAAAAATGTAATATTTGCTTCCATAAAAAAAAACTCTAATTTACTAATTCAGTTGACCTAACCTGGCGATTATTAAAATAAGGTTTTTAAGTCCTAAGGTCCTAGCAAAATAAAATACTTGGTTGTAATGGAAAGCTGAAAATAAGAGAAAAAATTTGTGAGTTTCTTTAAGATAGATGAGGCTCGCGCCTCTCTAATTCTAGGATTGTGGTGCTCATATTTTTTTCTAAATGTTTTCCCAGATGATTGTTGTCAATCGGGCATGCCTGTGCCTAGATCAAAAGAAGCCTAGAAATCAATGAAATGGATGCTTTCACAATCCCCATGACATTCCGCATGACTTTGCTGATACCGTTGGATGATTGCATAATTCCACTGAAATATGTCTATCATCTCAAAATTATATAATTAACACTTCGTTTCCACTATGCAATTATTATAGGTTCAAGTTTCATGAAATATTTTAACTTCCTAGTTGGCCAGACTAGAAGTAAATGAAGATCGGAGATTACTAGTAGAAATGAGCATGTATCTTTCGGCATTTTTTAATAAAATATATAAACCATAATATTTCAATACATACTTACGGATCACCGAAGTCTAGACATTCTATCCACCACCTACACAAATTCACACTTCAGGTTGTAATATCTATGAACCTAAACATTTTTTGGATACCAAAATCTTAGAATATATTTTGTTCGCATATTTCTTTTGATAAAAGACAAATGAAAGACAAGGTAGTGCTGGCTTAAAGCTAAAAATTTTAATATATACTACAAAATATGCAAAATACAAATGTAAAGTTTTAACAGCTTATAAATTTTCATATAATTAGATATGTTGAGGTGCTCTAATCTTATTAATAATTTCATAAATAGTCAAATTTTGATATTCATTCCAACCGTCACAGCAAATATAAATGGCCACGCAAAACCACTATCCCTGAAAAAACGAACTTCTAAGACAGTTGTAGAGCTTAAACTAGAACTGACAGAACAATAACTTCGTAAAAAACATCAAAATGTTGATTTTTAGCGCACTGCCACCATTTTGCTAACTAAATCGGAGATAAAAATAAATGTACAAGACAACCATTTTATTGGAACAAGTATTATTAAAAAAACAAATTAACAACACCGTTGCTCCTAAATGCGAGCAAATATTATATCCAGATTCTGGACGTAATTTAGAGTGTCATGTGTCAAGTGGACCCACCGTAATACACTGAAATTAGTCAGTGTTAAAAATTGTGGGGCCCACCTGACACGCGGCACCCCACCATTGGAACTCCTAACCTAATATTTTTTTTCCCCTAAATATAGGTTAGCCGTTAGGGAGTACATCAGGCACCTTGAGGCTCTAGCTTTGATAGCCTTCTAGCCATTGTCGGAATGATACACGCGCACACGTACATATGTGCGTGCACACACAAGATTGTCCTCAGCACAAATATAACCAAAATGAAGGAAAAATGAACGAAATTCATGTGGCAACTAAATCTTAATCAAAGAAGGAAAACAACAATGTGCCAAAATAACCCCTCTCTATACAAATTGAAAGAAAAAAGACCAATAAATAAATTTTTCCACAGAAATGCGAGAAGAAAAATTTAATCACTGAATTTTCATCTCAGGTGCCCTCATTTCTTTGCGGAAGATACAGGCAGAAGCTTGCTAACAACATAGCAATCTGGCGGGCTAATGTTTGTGTAGTAATTCTGTATCGTCTCTGCGATCTCAAAACCAAATTTCTTATAGAAGGCAATGGCGTCATCATTGTTTGTTTGCACATGTAAATAAATCTCGGAAATATTCTGCTTAGCAGACAGCTCCATCACATGATTTAACAGCTTTGTACCTGCAGAATATCTGGTCAGAGTCTACATTTGGTAGAAGGCCAGGCTCTTCAAAAACCATTCGAGCGAATGAGGCGAGCAAAAAAATGATAAAAAAGAAACGAAAAAAAGCAGGACTTTCTTCCAGATTTTAACTCGGGAACCCAAACTTCATAGTTCATCTTGCATTTTCTTCAAGTCACAAAACTGCACTGCAAACCTGAATATGGCGGGGAGACGCTGTTACACAAAACTGCACTGCAAACCTGAATATGGCGGGGAGCCAAATGCAATGGGGACGCTGTTATGAGGGCGCCTAGCTTAAGGGTAATTTTGTTTTTTGTACGCTTAAGGATAATTTAGTCTTTTGTTATTATTATTGTTGGGTATAAATAGACTTGTTATGTCTAAGGTTAGATTTATGCATTAGATTAAGTTGTGAGTATTATTGTTGTTGGGTATAAATAGGCTTGTTATGTTTAATGTTAGATTTATGCATTAGATTAAGTTGTGATTCTAAAGTTTAAGTTTTGGGAGATTTTCTACTTGTCGAATTGTGAGAATTGGGAGAGATCGTTACCTCTTAAATCGTAAGTGTTTATCTTTGTATTCTCATTAAGTTATTTGAATTATTTAAATAAAAAAAAAATTTGTTTTGCCCTAATTCCTGTGAAAAATTGTGTCTATTTTTGCTTTGAATCATATCAAATTGATATCAGAGCATGATTTTGGGGGAGACACTGCTAGCATGAAAAATTCTGAGAAGCGTCGACGGGATCCTTCTGTGACTGAATCCTAAGATACAATTGCTAGCATGGAGGCCACCACTAGATCACGGTGCACTGAGAAGGCTTCTATGCGAAAGATCGTTGCTTACAGAGATCCCAAACTTCTTTGTGACGAAATCGTGTGATACTGTAGCGCTCGCAGCTTGCTGGAAAAGATACGACAGGATTGCAGAGGGTCAGAGATGGATGTGAAAGAGTCGACGTGATGGAATGCAGTGAAGGATCGCGAAGAACAAAGACCTAAAGCTCCCATCTTTCACTACCACTTGTACGCATACAGTCGCATGCAAGGCAAACAACCTGGAATTGTGGCTTGCAGAGACCCAAAACTTCCTTCGCCTCTTCCTCCCGCTCTGTCCTCGGAAAGGCAGTCGTGATTGGTGTTTGCGGGGAAGGCCGACGAAATCATGGGGCACAGAGAAAGTCGACAAAATTGCAACACACAAGAAGTGTCTTCTTAACCTAATCTGACGGCGTACAAAAGGGTGACAACAACAATACAATCGCAACAAGAGCTTGCTAGGAAGGATACGACGGACCTTTCCTCACTTGTGAAGACCGACGAGTTAAGCTTGTGGGGCAGTCTAGACATTCGAGCCGACTTTTACGGTCCCGTTTTAAACCAACTACGAGATCGCGACATACAAGTTTCAAAAAGGATAGGAAGAAATGACAACCGATAAAGTAGATGATTTGGAGAAGAAATTAGAGGAGAGAAATAAAATCAGATCAAGAATGGAAGAGAGGTTTGCCACCATATAGGACAAGTTTTCTTCCATTGAAAGTTGAATGGAGAATAGATTTGAGAGCATAGGAGAAATACTGGAGATGATGAAAAAGCTCATGGAGATACAATCCAAGGCCGTGTCGATCGCTTTAGTTGCAAATCCTAACCAATGGTTATTCAGAGAATCTTTGGTTAGGACAAAAATGAAGGAAATCAAGCGAGAAGATAATGAGGAAGACACCATATATCAAGAAGAGTGTCCCCCAAGTACTTCGAAAGAAGGGGAGTGGAAACTTCCGATGGAGGGGGATGGGCCGAAAATTAGAGGGATGGTGTAAGAGGGAAGAGCGCGATGGAGGAAGGAGGGAATCGGGAGTTGGGTATGCCTACGATCGAATGAGAGAGTTTCACCCTAGATACATGGGAGAAATACTAGAGAAAGATGAATTTGGGGTGGAGATGTTAGAGTTAGGAAGATGAAGATGTCGATCTTCGAGGGGAAAGACACACATAGGCGGGTGCATTGAGCGGAGCGATACTTCTCGGTGAATGAGTTAGATGAGAAGGAGAAACTCATGGCGTGAAATTGTGTTTGGAGGGGAAACCTTAGCCTGGTTTTAGTGGGAGGAAAGATACCCGATTCATACATAGGATGAATTTAAAGATTGTTTGTTGGAATGTTTCTGAGCCATTCGAGAAGAAGACCTACATGAGCAATTCTGTCTTAATTTAGGAGGGGGCGATCATGAAATATAGGAAGATATTTTAACTATTGTCGGGACAACTGTAGAATATTTTTGAAGCAGGATTGGAGAAGTATTTCATAAAGGGCTTAAAACACAACATACGGGCAACAATCCGACTATTAAGACCGCGAGGATTGAGGGAGATGATGGAGCTAACTCAGATGATGGAAGACAAGAAACAGATGAGGAAAACCAACATGAGCAATACAGAGGAGCATCATACAGAATTGTTGTAACCATGATGATTCGTAAAAGTTCAAATAGTGGAAGTCTAGAGGGAGGCTGCATGAGACACGAATAATGGACCGCGACCGGGAGCAACACTCAAGGGTCTTACAGAGACAAAGATTCAAGAGAAGTGGGCCATGTGGTTATGTTTACAGTGTGATCAGAAGTTTACCCGAGGGAATCTTGCAAGAAGCGAAGATTATAAGTTCTCATAATGTAGGACGAGAAAGCAGAGAATGAAGAAATAGAGATAGTTGTGGGGGAGATAGAGGAACACTCTGATTTTTTCCCACCTTGAGAACAAGATGTCTTTTGGGGGGAGTATTGTTACAAGGGCGCCTAGCCTAAGGGCAGTTTTGTCTTTTGTAAGCCTAAAGACAATTTTGTCTTTGATTATTAATCTCTAGGGATAGGTTTATTGCATGAGATTGAATTGTGAGTCTTAGGTTTAGGTTTTGGAAGATATTTCCTACCTCTCAAATTGTAGTAATTAGGAGAGATCGTCTCCCTCTCGAATTGTAAGAGCTTATCTTTGTAGTCTCATTGAGTTATTTGAATTATCGAAATAAAAAAATCTGTTTTGTCCTAATTTCTATGGAGGATCTTATCAATTTTTGCTCTAGATCGTATCATACGCCAACGCTTTACATTCTTAAAATTTAGCTAATATATGTAACTTTATACCTAAATTAACTTAATTTCCATAAGAAATTGTGTATTTTCAAATTAATCAACAGTTACTAATAGAGTGTGTATCACAATGACGACTTCATTAATTTGAAAAGCTATTACATTTTAGCTTGTAGCAAAAAAATGTAAGGTGCATACATATGCACAAACAAGATGAAATAAACAATAAATGAAACTTAATCAATAGTCAACAAAGCTATCATAGTTGAAAATCATTTAGGTAAACACAAAACATATAGCAAAAACAAATAAAGCATAATCGACAATTAATAGATGAACTTCTCAACGCCTCATCTTGTTAAGGTTGGTGTGCTGATGCAAAAGCAAGTTCAGTCATCAACATGGTCATCTTTCTCCCATCTATTTTTAATCAGACTTCTTGAATCCTTTCATTCCTATTTAAAGCTATATAATGGGTTATCTCTACGCCTATGCAATCCTTTACAATATCTAGTTATCTTACCAATGATCTACCCAATTTACTTCATATACATCCAAAAAACATTCTACACAGCCAAACCCCAAACCAGCTAAAGTGTAAACTCTACCACCTTGCAAGAAATATCCTCACTCAATTATATTTTTTATTCCATCCTTACTATTTTGGTCACATATTCATCTTAAAATTTTAATTATATCATACTCAATATCACCAATGATTTATTTGTTGACTAAAATTTTTTTAAAAAATAAGATTCCTATAATATAATTTACTTTGAAAACTTTATAACATTCTCTCAGTGCATAATATTGTTGCAACACTTCTCCATTTTACTCACTCAACATGAACTATAAATTTTAATTTACCATCTATATTATCATTCCTTTGTACAAAAAATCCAAAATACTTGGTCTATTACAATTAATCATAAGGTGATGTTCCAAATTTATTGACTAATAATTACCAATTTTAAATCCACAAAAAATTAGATATAGTATATCAATATTTGTTATCCAATTTAAAAAAATAATAATAATAAAGAAATTTTTATCCAAGTTCCCAGCACTTTCCTGAGACATTCTTTATTTGAAGTTTATGTTCTCCTTAAATGATGGCTCTTTTATCACTATAAAATTGAAAATAACATTAGCAAATGTACCTATTTCTTTAAATTATTTTTACAACAAATATAAAAATTTAAGCCTTAATGTTGACTGTTGATATTATCTTATTAAAATTAGAAACTTTTTCTTCACCTCCCAACAAATTCTAAATCTAATCACTACAGCATACGTAAATTTAACATATCTTTGGCATTAATATTTTTTTTCTCAATGCCCTTATATTACTCTGCAAAAAGCCCAAACAACATTACACAAACTATATAGAGAACTTTTCAGCTCATCGTGGGCTTTGTTGTTGTTGTTGTTGTTGTTGTAGACTTTTTAAGCTTTACTACAAAAAATGCCTCCATAATAGCTTTTCCTCGCATTAAACCTAATTAATTCACCAACATCAATAACATTTTTTTACCATCCCTTTTTTTTTTTTTCCTAATATCCTATCATGGAATGTAATTTTAGTAGTAGTAGCTCTAGTGACAGAAGTGTGACTTTGGGTGATCAAATTATTAAAAGGTGTAAACGATTTAGATATCTTGGGTCCATTGTTCAAAGCGATGGTGATATAGATGAGGATGTTAATAGTAGAATTCAAGCTGGTTGGATGAAGTGAAGGAATGCTTCGGGTCTTTTCTGTGATAGAAAAGTACCGCTTAGACCGAAAGGAAAATTTTATAAGATAGTGGTGAAACTTGCAATGCTCTATGGTGCTAAATCTTGGCCTTTAAAAGAGAAGCATAAAACAAAGTTCATGATTAGGTGGATGAGTGGCTTTACACTTA